CATCTCCTTTCCCACACTTTTTTTCTGACTGTAGCATCAGTATGCCACTAAGAAGTGAATCTGTATATCTGTGTGAAGTAGGTGCTCAGTTTTTTAACTGGTTGAAGTTTAGAGACTAAGTTTTCTTCCAGGGAAGGACCCTTGCTTTCTCCACATGAGCACTGACTATACTCTCTTGGCTTTTTGCAGCAATACCAATGGGCAAAATATGACTGGAGATAATGATGTTGAGAAGCATAAATCAGGAGGAGAGGCTTTTTATGGCACATAGATAGCAGCAGAACTGTTCCATAGGGTGCCAATGATATAGGGGAAAACATAACTCCCAACCAGATAGATGTGAGGAATGCTAAATTTATGTCCCATGAAGTTGAAGAATGAATCCCTGAGGATAAAGGAGGTTAAGAGTAGGGAAAGTTTGTTGGGGCATGGGAATAAGCTCCTGAAGGACAAGAGAGGCCCCAGAAGTGGGCGGCCACTGGAGCCCTTTGTTAGGGGTCATTCATATAGCAAAGTTACAATGTGGGCATAACGTGGGTCAAACTATAATCAATTTATAGGGTTATAAATAATATAGGGGAAATAAATATAACTCCCAAACTTAGATGTCAGATTGCCAAGTTCATATTCCCCAAAATTGAAGAAAGAATTATAAGGAACAATAGAGGTTAAGAGTAGGAAAATATTACTGAGAGAGGGAGCTCCTAAGAGACAGGAGAGGACCCAAAAGTGAGTTGCCAGTGAGCCCACTTCTCAAAGGAAGATTTATAGAGCAAAATCGTGAGGTGGGTACGCAACAGCAAGGAGAAACACCAAAATGACACCCAGGATTTGGAGGCAGATTTATTTACATCAAGGGGCCCTGGGTGGGATCATTCCCTATCACTGGTGATCTAGGGCTTATATGAGATAAGCAAGCTGGAAGTACAGAGGCAGAATGGCTTGTCAATTGGGGCTTTTTTTTGTTTTGTTTTGTTTCCGGTACCGGGAATCGAACTCATGACCTTGCGCTTGCCAAGCAGGCGCTTTGCCGCTGAGTTAAATCCCCAGCCCCTCAATTGGAGATTGGGTTATACAATGTGCATTATAGTTACCACTGCATTACAGTGATGAACTGTTTCTAAGAGACAGGAGCAACTGGAACTGGAACAAGAACTATTACCTGGGCAACTAACAAACTGAAGTACACTGGCAGCGGGGGGTGGGGGGTGGCGGCATTTTCTGTTAGAGGTACAAAATCACAAGGTAGGTACAATGCAGGTCAGAACTACGATCAACCAATACAATTACAAGTATAGCCACTCAGGTAATATTGATCCAATGGAGAAGCAAGTCACATAGCAAGTGTGCATGGGAAGAAGAAAGACCTGCTTTAGGAAGGGATGGATCAGGAGGTCCTGATCACCCACCTGAGTGACTGATGTTTATCTAGACTTTATTGTACCAGGTGAGTATAATCTTTAATTTATTGCTTATCCCTCAGGGAGGCATGTAGGCCTGATCATTCTGTCTTTATCTGGAGGCCTGGCCTTTCGCAGATGTACCTGCAGCCACAGTTGTAACGTGTTCTCATCCTCTACACTGACTCCCTTGATGGCCTAGCCCTGCCTGACTGCCTAGAATATTTCTACTATCTATAAAAGTATAGCTGCTTAGCTAATATTGATCTAATAGGGAAGTGGGTCACATAGCAAGGGTACATGGAAAAAACAAAGGCATTTTGGGGAAGGGATGGGTTCAGATGCTCTGATCATTCACCTGAATGATTGATGCCTATCTGGACTTTATTGGACCAAGTGACACCAATTATAGTATAATCTCAAGTTATTACTTATGTCTCAAGGAGGCATATGTAGACCTGGTCTTCCTCAGATGTGCCTCCAGACGCAGTTTTGATGTCTTTATTATTTTTTTTTGCTGACTTCCTTGATAGCCCAGTCCCTCTCTGACTGTGTATTAATTTCCATGTAATTTAGCTGCCTATAATATAAAGATGACCAGCACATGAAAACCTATGAATGGATGGAAATAGTCACCTTCAACCAGGTGATAATTTCTACCAATTCACCTGGGGCTAGTGTCCCTTCTTCATTAGGATTCACACTGATCCTTTTATTACTCAACCTAGAGAGAATACAGGGACCAGAGAATACAGGGACCAGAAATCCAAAAATGGGCATCTAAGATGAATACACACTTCTCAGATGAAGAAATACAAATGGCAAATAAATACATGAAAAATGTTCAACATCATTGGTCATTTGAGAAATGCAAATTAAAGCAACACTGAGATTCTAGCTCACCCCAGAAAGAATGGCTATCATCAAGAAATCAACCCATAACAAATTCTGGAGAGGCTGTGGGGAGAAAGGAACCCTACTCCACTGCTGGTGGGAGCGTAGACTGGTGCAACTATTGTGCAAATCAGTCTGGAGATTCCTGAGTAAACTAGGTTTAGAGGTCCCATTCAACCCAGCTATTTCCCTTTTGGGTATTTTTCCAGGAGAATTAAAAACATCATACCACAATGATATATGTGCACCCATGTTTAAAGCAGCGCAATTCATAGCTAAATCTTGGAAAGAACCCAAATGTCCATAAACTGAGGAATGGATAAAAAAAATGTAGTTTTTTTATGCAATGGAGTATTACTCAGCTATAAAGGAGGATAAACTTGAAGCTTTTATAGGTAAATGGATGCAACTAGAGGCAATATTCATAAGTGAAATAAATCAGACTCACATGTATAAACATTGTATCGTCTCCCTAATGTAGGAAAATGAAAGAGTAAATAAGATCCAAAAGGTATAATAGATATTGTGAAAGGGAAAGAAACTGCTCAAAAGGAAAGAACAACTGGGATAGGGGAAAGGAGAAAAGAAGGAAGGGAAAAGAAAAAATATATGTGCACAAGATAGCTAAGATAATTAAACTACTAATTTCTATTAGTTCATTGAAAGGAATGGTTTGTGCTTATATTGTTTGATCAACTTTGCATGCCTATATCTTGTAATATGAGCAACTACTTTGGGGATAACAGTATGCGGTATAATAACCATTGTTAATTTCCTATTATCTTGTTTTGAAATTCTGCATCATTGTTTTTATTGTTTTTTTCTCTTTAAAATAATAATAATACTAACAAAAAAAGGATACAGAGACCTCAACTCAGTCTGCCGAGTAAAATCTTGTCTCATGCCATGGATAAGGAATTTCAGGAAGCATCAATGTGAGGCAGGAAAGGTTTATTATACCAAGTTACAAAGTCTGAGAGAATACAAAGAGTCTAGTTTGAGTAGCTGGAGAGGGCACATTCAGATTCAGAAAGCATCCTGGCCTGCTGCAAAAGCACTAGGCCAGCTTTTGAAGGATTAGCTGAAGTGGGCCAAGGTGCAGTCATTCATTGTCTCAGTTCTGGCTTCCATAGCTCTGGAAGAACCATTATAGGCTATGAGTATTGAGGGCAAGTCAGTACCTAGAAGACAGTTCTTCTCGCTCAGGAAGGGGGCTGCCTCCCATCCTATCACAGTAATTGCTTCTGCTTGGTGAGGGGAACTGATCTCTTCAGGGGTTGTCTGCCAGACTCTATCCCCTGCCCAACCCAAGGGGATTACAGGTTTAAGACAATGGTAGGAGGCTTCTAGGCATTGCTCCACGGTGTCTGGAACTGGAGGTTGTGAAAGCTGACAACTGGATGTCCTTGCAAATTCTGAAAACTACTTTAGTTACTCTATCTCAGTGTCCACAGTGTCCACAGTCCTGCAAACAGATGAAATAGGCAAGGTAAATTTAGGACTAATAAACCTTGTTTTGCCAACTTCCTAAATGATTAACATTCCTGTGCAGAGCTGAGAAGGAATTCAGTCCAGAGTTTTAAGGTAAAACTTTTTTTTTTTTTTTTTGTCTTTTTGAGACAGGATCTCACTATGCAGTTCAGGCTGACCTTGAGCTCAATTTGTAGCCCAGGCTGGCCTCGAACTCGCAATGATCCTCCTGCTTCAGCCTTCTGAGTGCTGGGATTACAGGCGTGTGGCACTGCATCCGGCTAGGTAGAACTTTTAAGAGAAAAATTTTAGTTTCCCTGTGTCCTTTTTTACCTATCTTTATTCCTTCAATCCTATTCAATGATAGACCAAGTTGTCAGATAGGGAAAGAGGAAAAGTTGGGAACCAGCCTTGACCTAAAAAGGTTGGTAACTGATGCAAAGAACAGCATTTGGGAACATTTACATAATTAATTGTATAAATGTCTGATGCAGTCACTGATCTGTGAATAAATGGGTAATTAAGACTGTCACACTGTCTTGTACAGGTCCAAATTCCCTATAATGAATGTTATCATTATGTATACCTAAAATGTACCAATAACCTTAATAAAAAAAGATTGTCGCACTGGAGATGAGAATAAGCATTAATGTATAATTGACTCTCAATTGCAGCTCCTAGCATCACTTGTACCCTAATATACATGGTCTTTATTGAAAGTTATTTTCTCTGTGGTATTCTTGGTACTCATAAGAAGGGTAGTATAATTTTAGGTACATATTGACAAAATTTTCATGGAGGGTTCTTAGGTGAAAGTTCTAGTCTGTCTTAGAGATGACATTAGAGGATTTAGTAGTTACTGCTTTGGCAGCAGATTTTTTGGCTGATGTAATGTTTGGTCGTAGATTTTATGATTTACCCGATGGCACTTAATTTATCAGTTGATTTGTGAAAACTGTTTTGGTTCGATGGATATTAAGGATTCACATACAGCATCCAGGGCCAGAGATGTAGCTCAGTGGCACAAGTGCCTGCCTGGCAAGCACAAGGTCCTGAGTTTGATTCCTGGCACCAAAAAAAAAAAAAAAAACAAAAAAAAACAAACATATACAGCTTCCAATTTGCATTGTAAACAGTAAAGGAGAGTAGGATGAAAGCAATACTTTAAACTGGATTTTGAAGTGGGCTCAAAGAAATGCCCACCAAAATGAATAACTGTTTCTTTTCTTCACACAGATTTCCTCCTAAAATGTCAAGATCTTTTCCATTCAACACCTCAGTCGTGTACAAAAAGACTGTTTTTGTAGAGTTCACCGATCACCTTTTCAGCCTTGCCAAGCCCAGGCCACCCTGGATGGGTAATGAAAACACTGTTGAGTGCTAATTATGACCCTAGATATCTTCTTTCCTAGCGAGGATTTGCCAATCTTAGGGACTGTGGTAGAGAGGGCAGCTGCCAAACAGAATGTTCTTCTGGCCAGGTTTCCCTTACTGCCTGCCACCTGGAGGGAGACACACTAGCCCATTTTGTCTCTGCTTGGTCTCTAGATGTTAGAGTGCCCTGGAGCTTGTCCTGGGTGTATTTCCTTTTCTTTCTATCTTTAATCTCTGGGTGTCCTTTCCAGTTTCATAGCTTTAAAATATTAATTTTGTAGTAATAACTCCCAAGTTTATACCTTTTATTTAGACCCTTCCCTGAACCCTAACTGCTTACCACGAACTAAATGCCAAATAAGCATGTAAGAAGGAGTTGAAATGAAACATTTTCTACTTTATATTTGTTTTCCTTTTCTTTTTTCTCTTTTTCTTCTTTCATCCCTCCCTTCTTCCCTCCCTTCCTTCCTTTCTTCTTTTCTCCCTCCCTTCCTTCCCTCTTTCCTTCTTTTTTTTAGGTGCTGGTGATCAAAACCAGAGCATTCCTCATGCTAGGCATACACTCCTGGCCCCTTTCTTAGAATTGTTGCTGAGAATTATAGGTGACAAGTATCACCATATTCTATTTTTTTTTTATTTTTGTCTTTTTGAGAGAGGGTCTCACTATGCAGTTCAGGCTGGCCTTGAGCTTACTTTGTAGCCCAGGGTGGTCTCAAACCTGTAACGATTCTCCTGCCTCAGCCTCCTGAGTGCTGGGGTTACAAGCATGCGCCACCATGCCCAGCTAGTATCACCATGTTCTAAAGAGAGGTACCAGCCCACCTATTCAAGATTTATTCAGGTTGTGGTCAAAAACTGGTTCTACAACCAGTTTTCAACCATGATACACCTTCAGCCTGTATAAAGGAAGACTGGGAACTTATAAAAAACAGTTTATATTTGAAGATTCTTTGAAGAGCATTTTTGACATGTCCCTATCCCATGGGAAAAAGGAGGCCTCTCCCTCATGTAAAGCTATGACAAGGGAGGCTTCAGGACAACTAGTAGAAGATTTGCCCTAAGATCTCTGGAACTTGGGAAACACTGACTAGTGCCTGGTTTTTGTCTGGAAAAACTTTCAAGGTCAGAAGCTGATGGCATAGAATGAAAGGTGGAATATAGTGGAATCTGACTACACTGACACTGTTAGGTGTGAGGCCAAGCCTCCATGACTCCAAAAGAAAAGGTTTAAGTGGGCTATGTTGCCAGAAAACAGAAACTAACAAAACATACAAGTGACCAGCTAGAGAGAGCATATCCCACGCTGAGAACAGGTTCATAAGGAACGTGGGGAGAGGGTCTCCAAATAACTCATACAAGTTTTCTAAGATAGTCAGAATTTGGGCATGTGCTACAACCATGTGCAAATACAACGTTACCATTGTTGCTCCCAAGAAAGACCATATCATCACGCCTCTTCCATTCCTACCCTCTTTCCATTTGATCCTACCTTACAGTGTCTAGATACAGCTAAGGTCAGTTGGAGAGGAAGATTAGGAGAAGAAATTGAGAAAGCAATAAACTTCCCAACAAAACTATGTTTACCTACTGTAGTTTTCTGAGCCTGCCAGAATTTAGCTGGAGGAGAAAGGGAACTTTGAGTTATTGAGGACATCAAAAGTTTGACATCAGCCGGGTGTGGTGGCACACGCCTGTAATCCCAGCACTCGGGAGGCTGAGGCAGGAGGATTGTTGTTAGTTCGAGACCAGCCTGAGCTACAAAGTGAGCTCAACACTAGCCTGAACTGCATAGCAAGACCCTGTCTCAAAAAGCCAAAAAAAAAAAAAAGTTTGACATCAGTCAGGCATGGTGGCACATACCCATAATCCCAGCGCTTGGAGGGGGGTTGAGGCAGGAGGGTCACTGTGAGTTTGAAGCCGATCTGGGCTACATAGTGAGTTGAAGGCCACCCTGAACTGCATAGTGAAATCCTGTCTCAAACAAAACAAAAAAAAAATTGACAGACTGAACTGGACTTGTTAGTGCCTTAAAAGGTTACTGTTTAATACTTGAAGGTTACTGGAAAAGATTTGGGATTCATCAAAGTATAAGAAAAGGAAATTCTACATAATTCAATTAAAACAGTGGTATATCTGCATGGATCTAAAATGAGCACCATGTGGATGAAGCTAAGGTTGAAGAAGAAGGTTTGCAAATTTGTGTTGAAATATGTGGTTGTGCTCCACAACTTGACCTTAATGATGATCTGAAAAGTAAATGTCTAATTTATAAAACAATTGCACATTTTTTGCCAAATGATTTGGAAATCCTCAGGATTTGTGCACTCTCAATATTTTTTCTTGAGCACTCCTTAGAAGCTTATCATACTGTTGAAGAGCTTTATAAACATCCAGATGAAGCATACAATGAAGGCACAAGTAGTGTTCAAAATCGTGTTCATTTTGAATTACTTCCAATTTGAAAAAGGGATTGTTTTTTGATCCTGAATTTTGGAACTTTGTAATAATTAAGAAAAACTGTGTTGCATTACTGAGTGACAAATCAGCAGTTAGATTTCTAAATGAAAGTACACTGGAAAATTCTACAGATAATCTAAAAAAGACAGCAGGACAGCAAAATTTAGCTGAAGAGCTCGAATGTCTTACAGATCAGAGCACTGCAGAGTACGATCCTGATGATATATCTGTAATGCAACCTAAAGGTCTTGTTAATACAAAGAAAAACCTTGCAACTCTTAATACTTTCAAAGTAGATCACAATGTCCCAAGGCATCGTTGCATGTTATGTAATAAGGAATTTCTTGGTGGTCGCATTGCAAGACATGCACAAGCTCATCAGAAGAAAGGCAGTTTTTCATGTGTAATATGTGGTAGGAAATTTAGAAACAGAGGACTTATGCAGAAATATTTAAAGAATCATGTTAAGAAGATACAAAGAGCAAATTGCGGCTCAACAGGATGATCAGGAAATCACTGTTTTGGAAGAAATAAATTGTTCCAATTCTTCCGTTCAGTTTGAAAATGGGAGTTCTAATAATGATTTGGAAGTAGAGACTCTGTCTGCTTCCACTGACAGAAACAAAGAACTCGTGCCTGAGTACATTATTGAATTCACTGAAATTCCCATAGGTGTATCAGAAGGTATAATTGAAAATGACAGCCCTGATACTTCTTTAAACAGTCTCTCAGAGCCTTTACCTCCATGTGAGGGTGACTATGAAGAAGAAGATGAAGAATGTGATTATGAAGAAGAGGATTATGAGCTGAATCAAGAAACTTCAGTACTTCATAAAATCAATAGAACTGCGTGCCATCCAAAAGACATCTATGCTGCAGATCAAGAAGGAAACTTTACGTGTCCTGCTCTTGGCTGTGTCAGGATATTTAAAAAAATTGAATTTCTAAACACACATGCAAGGACCGTACATCCAACTGATTTAAATGTGCAACAAACAGTAATGAAATGGAGCAGAGGAAAATGCAAATTTTGCCAAAGGCAATTTGAAGATTCTCGGCATGTTATCGATCACCTCAATAGACACAGCTATCCAAATGTGTACTTCTGTTTGCATTTTAATTGCAATGAATCCTTTAAGCTGCCATTCCAGCTTGCCCAACACACCAAAATATTTTCCACACCAGGATATTTCAAGCTCAGTGCAGTTTTCCAGAATGCCATGAGCTTTTTGAAGATCTTCCTCTGCTCTATGATCATGAAGCCCAGCACTATTTAAGTAAAACCCCAGAATCATCTGCACAGCCAAGCGAAGCAGTTCTTTTAGATTTTTGTACAGACTCAAATCCTAATCATCTGGAAACAGACTTATTTAGTAATGAGAAAAAACTGTTAGTCTGCCAGTTTCTGCTAGCAAACCAAGAAAAGATTCTACAGAACCAAAGACATGTATAGAAAAGATGTGTTTGGAAAAGAAAACAGAAAGTTTAGTTCAGAATGGAAATAAACATTCTGATGACACTGTTTCAAGTATAAGCTTGGTAGACCAAGAGATGCCTGACATAGAGCCACATTTTGAAAACAGTCATAGTATTAGTGATTCGGTCAATGGACACAGTGAAGTAGAACAAACACCTTTAGTTTCATCAGATCCTGTTATGAAAACTGATACAAACAGAAGGACAGAAATGGTTTTATTTTGCCCATTGTTGTACCACAAGAAAGGAATACCTTGCCAGGATCTCAGGCACCATCCAGACCAAATCTTACAAGTAGTAAATGAGAAACAAACAAACAAAACAAATAGAACAGTAGCAGAACCTATATCACGAATGTAAACAAATCAAAGCAAGAACATTCAAAGTGATACAGGGTCTCAAAACACAATAATATGAATCAACAGTGGTTGTTACATTGCATATCACTATCCGCAACTACATTGCTCAGATTATCAGATGTAAGAATGAAAGATTGCTCAAACCATTAAAGAGAATAAGAAAATAATTCTTCAATAAAACCTTAGAGATAATACAGAGTTTCACTAGATGAGATGGTAGAAGTTCACCATTGTAATTCCATTGCATATTGTTACCTTCAAATCAGTTGCTCAGACCACCAGACACAAGCATGCACAGTCGCTCAGAACATAAAAAATTGTGAGCATTAACTGTTCATTTCAATATACCATCAGACATCAGCAATACAGTCATCACAGCTATTCATATATATATTTATATTTTGTATATGGCTTAATTTTAACAAAGCCATATGTCAGACCATTGCCTCCCAGTTACCTTGGTGAAAGGTACCTTAGTATGCCAAAATGCAGAAAATTTCTGACAGATAGAGTAGATGCCAGTTCTGATCAAGATAACACTTAGAAAAAGTCAGTGAAAAGATTAAGATGCGGCAAATGCCTGGCCACCTACTTCAATGCAGAAACACTTGAAGCTCACCTTGCACAAAAAAAATGTCAGACACTCTTTGGATTTGATTCAGATGATGAAAGTAAGTCTTCTATGTTCTCAAGTAGATAAATCTGTAGAAGTAGAAAGTGCCATAAATATAACAGGTCTCGATGAGGCTAAAAAAATTAACATTTGTGTAGCACAGATGGCAAGGCATTACCCCAGACATTATTTTCTTTAATCTATAACCACTACAATGTGATATTAGTATTCCTGTTTTATAGATCAAACAACTAAAATTCGCAAGTAATTTGAATAGGCATGAATTTGTGGAAGCTGGAACTTGGACACAGGTTTTTCATACATTTATCCTATTTTTTCACTGCATCAGAGGTTTTTTTTTAATTCAAGGTTTCACACAATAAAAGTTCTAAGAATAAAGAAAAACAGTGGTCTAAAAAAAATAAAGTTATTTCATCGCACTTAATCTAGTTCATTCAATAAGTAATTTTAAAACATCTTATACTAAAAGTGTACACAAATCTAAACTCTTACTTTCTCTCTTGATTTTCTGTATCATGGACTAATTAACTGCCCAGTTTCAAAAGCCAAATTTATAGGAATCGTCTTTGCTTCTTCTTTTTGCTGTCTCCAACACCTAATCCATCACCAGTAAGTCCTGTTGACTGTTACTCCAAAACAAGTCTCAAGTTGCCCTCCTTTATATCTTGTAAAATCAAAAGTTATCCAAGCTCTTGTGGCCTACAATGTCTTCCGTGTATGTTCTCTGTCACTATAATCTTATTTTCTCTCGCTCCTCTGCCCATTCACTTTGTTCCAGCTACATTACTCAACTACCCCAAGTTTATTCCTGCCTCAGGAATTTTGCATTTATTTTATTTGCTTTTAATGCTCTTCCACTAGATCTTAGCAAGTATTGCTTGTTTTTCGTTCATAAGCTCAAATGCTGTCCCCTCGGAGAGAATCTTCTTGACCATTACATTCAAAGTATCCTCTACCTCCTGCTTCATCATTTTCTAGCACACTATCATCCTTTATAGTGGTTATAACAATTTGAGATTTTCTTGTTTATTTCTTTATGCAGTTAATGCTTTTAGAATTTAATTTCCATGATAGCTCATACCTAGGACAGTTCTTAGAGTAGGGACCCAAATATTAGTTTAATTAATGAATGCAGTAAATGAATTGCCAGAAATATTGCTTTGGAACACCATGAGATTGAGCTGGTATTGACAGCAAGCATAACTATTCTTTATCAATAATCATAGAGGCATGCTTCTTCGTTGTGACTTTGACCTTCACTTTTATAATAACAGGTTTTCTGGAGTACCATCCTCCAACTGACTTTTGAGGGACATCTCATTCTTACAGGTCTGCTGGGTCCTACCATCTGGGCTGAGGTTTATGACACAGTGGTCATTACACTTAAGAACATGGCTTCTCATCCTGTCAGTCTTCATGCTATTGGTGTGTCTTACTGGAAAGCATCTGAGGGTAAGTTAAATACACTCCTATTGTCCTGTCCTCTTGGAGATAGAAAGGCCAGATGCATGTGCTTGAAAGTAGTGGCTATCTTAGCTCATTTTAGGTCACTATGACAAAATACCTGAGACTGGATACTTTATAAAAGAACAATGCTTATTTAGTTCACAGGTCTGCAGGTCTAAGACCATGGTACCAGCTTCAGCTTTTGCTGAGGACCTCATGGCAGATAGCATCACATGGTGGGGGATGAGAGAGATAGAGATAGAAATAGACAGATAGATAAACAAGTTTGAGAGAAGCAAGAGAATGAATCAAGAAAGCTGAACTTGCTTTTCTTTAACTATCTGTTTTCATAATAACAAAACCAGTACTGTGATACCTAGCCCATTCTCTTAACATGAACATTAATCCTTTCCCAAGGTGGTGCTCCTACAACCTAATTGCCCCCACACAAGGCCCTATGCTATAATTTGAATCTGAAATGTTTCCCAAGGGCTTACGTGTAAACCAGCCTGAGACACTATTCGGAGGTGGTGGAATTTTAAGAGGTGGGGCCGAGTAGGAAGAAGTTGGGTAACTAGGGTTGTTCCCTCAAGGGAACATTGAGACCCAGCCTGGCTATGACAGTTATGTTGTGTCAACTTGGTGCTTGGCTTGGGAGCCACCTACTAGATTAGTAAAACACATCTGGGTATCTCTGGGTGAGTCATGGAGGCAGGGCATTGGGGTCTGTATTTGGTCCCTGGCCCCTACCTCTCTAGTATTGTTTCAATGCTCTACTTCCTGGCCACTTTGAACTAAGCATCCTTTTTTTTTTTGTTTTGTTTTGTTTTTTGTTTTTTTTTGTTTTTCTCCGGTACCGGGAACCGAACTCACGACCTTGCGCTTGCCAGGCAGGCGCTTTTGCCGCTGAGCTAAATCCCCAGCCCCGAACTAAGCATCCTTAATCTGCCAGGCCTTTCCATCATGATGTTGCTGCCTTGGAGCCAGCAAAACATGGACTGCATCCCCTGAAACCATGAACCAAAACAAACCCTTCTCTCTTTAAATTGTCTATCTTGAGTATTTTGCCTCAGCAAAGAAAAACTGACTGATATACTGGACCATTCTTTCTTTTATTTCTTGTTGCTCACCACTATAAGGTGAACAGACCTCCTCCATCACACACTCCTTCTACGATGTACTGCCTTGCTACAAGACCAAAAGCAAAAGGACAAAGTGAGCATGTACCAAAACCTTTGAAAGTAGGAGCCAATATAAACATTTCCTCTTTTTAAGTTAGTTATCTTAGGTGTTTTTTGACAGTAGCAGAAAGTTGACTAACATACCTGTTATGGTTTGAACATAAATGCCCTCCCCAAATCCCTATGCTAACAGTTTAGTTGCTAGCTGATGAGTCTTGGAAATGATTGGGTTGTGAGGGTGTAACTTCATGAGTGAATGTATACACTGATGGATTTATACTTTGATGGCTTTATTCGGAGGCAATGGAGATTTAGAAGGTGGGGCCTAGTTGAAGGGAGTGGATTGTGGGACTGTGACCTTGGAGACTGTATCTTGTCCCCAACCCCTTTCCATCTGGCTCTTTCCTCCTCTGCTTCCTGACTGCCATGAGGCAAGCATTTTTCTTCCACCTTGCCTTTCTTCCATGATGATTGTGCCTCACCACATGTCTAAAAGAAATGGACCCAGCCAAGCTTGGACCAAAACCTCTGAAACCATGATCCAAAAGAAATCTTTTAAATTGATTTCCTCAGATATTTTGTCACAGTGACAAAAACAACAACAACAACAACAAATCCTGACTAACACAATACCCTAACTCTTAAAGGTTCCAGCACTTCTCAGTAACATTGCATGGAAGACAAGCCTCTAGCACAAGAACTTTGGGGGACAAACTGTATTTAAACCCTAACAGAAACCTAGAATAAGATCCATTCTCCTGAATACAAACTTATAGAAGGCTAATAATAATAGCAACAACATGTACTGAATTCAAGGTAATACAGCTAATGAATGTGGAATTGGGATCCAAACCTAGGCCCATCTAACTCCAGAATTTGTGCTGTGAACTATTATAATATAGTGCAAAGATTCATGTAAATAATGTTCAACTTTGTTCATGTAACTGGAAAGTTCCATGGATTCAGTTAGGTACAGCTAAGTTCAAGGATTCGAATGCTTCCCTTAGCATCTTAGCTTCTTTTTGGGTTCATTCTCAATAAGGCTTTTACAATATAATACCAAAGATAAACAGTGAAAGTTCAAGGCTTGCCTTGTTCTTGCAGATAGTGATGCTGGCATGGGAGGGAAGCCTCCTTCCCAGAACTTCCTGATGTTTGGGATGGAAGAAAGGGAAGACGTAGCATCAGTCTTGCCTGATTCACATAGAAAAGGGTCCTGACCTTTTTCTGCAAGAAAGAGAGCTTCTTTTATCAGAATGAGGAAAGAATGGAAAGTATATCAAGCATCCACAAATACAGGCCTCTATGCCCAAGTCCTGAGAAAGGCAGATTTGGGGTGCTGCAGGACCCCAGCAGCAAAAGGATGTGTGTAGGTGTTTACTTGAAGCCTCCAGCATTCACTGTCTCTGCATGTTAGTCCTGTTATGTGCAGAAGTGACCTGATCAGCCTGACTCCCTTCAGTTCTCTACCTTCATTCCCAAAGAGAATTGCCTAGGGGAGGGACCTCCTCAGTACTCTCTGGCAAAGATCTCCCTTCAAACTCTCTGTTTTACCTGGGTCAGACAGACCTCTTTGATACGAACTGAACACCTTTGGAGATTGATATGGTTGACCTAGAGGGAAAAATAGGTTTCTATAGCTAATATAGAAGCTGACAGAAAAGAGAGATGTTATCAGAGTTGGCACTCATGGTTCTTAAGGAAGCACATAGATGTTGCTAGGCTGTGGTTGGGGAGAGGAACAGGAAACAAGAGGAGAAAAATAAAAACGACCATACTCATTCCTTCTAAGTATGTAGATTCCATTTCCAAAGATTCTCATAACCCACAGAACTCAGTAAACACGAACAAGTATAAGTTGGCCACTGACTACAACCAGGGTTGGCCTAAGCCTCTGCCTAGCATACCAGTCAGAAAAGTGCGAAGCACCAAGATGAACCTCTGAACTTTAGTACCTCAGATGATGCCATCAGCATGTGAAGAAAACATTATCATTCAAAATTGAAAATTCCATCAAATATTTTGTGGTCCTAACTAAACATTATGTCTGTCTCTTGAAGTTACTAGACTATAAATATCTCAAGATAAGGACAATGCCTATCTTGGTTATGGTTGTTTCCCTCACACCTAGCATGTAGTGGGTGCTTGGCACAAGAACCAGGATCTAGCAGTCACTAGCCACTTTTTCTTTCTAAAACTCCACATGCGCCTCACCTTTTAGAATAGCTTCTTCTAAGTGTACTTCTAACAGAACCTGTCACTTTCTTTTTGTGCTTCCTTGGTCACAGCTGATTGTCTGTTTCCTTTTATTTTTCTTAGTGCATCTACTAGAAAATTTCAAATTGTACATGTGCTCACATTATATTTCTACTGAACAGCACTTGTCTGTATGCTTCCAGTAGAATGGCATTTAGCTTACACTGAAGCTTCTGCTTCTGACCCAGAGACTGATACCAGATGTGGATAGCCAAGTTCTTCCATCCAAGGAAAACTAGGTTCAACCCTTTCTTTGGAAGAAAGAGTCTCACAGTTTCTGAACTGGGTCACTTACACTGGTTTCCACTGAGGGCACAGACCAACCCCTCAGTTAGGAAAAGGTTGTGGAGGAAGTCAGTTCTTAGATTGCATGGGACAGACAGGGTGTACTGTAATGGAGCATGACCTATTATGGAATATGACTTCTCCTTTGAGTGTGGCCTGATCAAGGGATTCATCTTGGGACCCAGCAGAGGACAATTTCATGAAGATGGGAGCACTGTCACTTTAGTTTAAGCTCTGAGGTTGAGCTAAGTCCCCCTGTAGAGGCAAGCCAAGGATTCTAAATTTCCCCCCTCATCTGTCTTCCTATGCCTAGGAAATTTTCAGTGGAGGATCAAGTCTCATGGTATGAAAATGAAATGGAATTTTTGCCCTCTTCCTTATATTCTGACTTTCCACACATTCCCTCCGTCACTCCCTGATTCATAATACAGATCCTTCCTTGTGACGAGAGCCACCTAGCAGAAGCACATGGTGATCTCATTAACACAAGAGGCTCCACTCCAGCTACCTTCTTCTTAACTTTCCCAATTAAGGATTAAAGGAAATGCCAAAGTTAACTACAACACTGTCTAGGTAGCCTATATAAGTAAAGAAGATTCAAATAAGTCATTAACAGATTATTAGAGCCCATACTTTATATTATATAGCCTAACTATAGTTGCATAGTGACTAAGTTCTCATTCTGAAATGGAAAGGCCTTCCATTTTCTGGATTTTTCTCAGGAGACCAGATCAAACCTAGTGTTACTGGGTAGCTTGCTTCTAAAAAGTGGCTTGCCAACTAAATGTTATTGCTTGGGGTTGCTTTCCTCTCCTTCTGGAGTTGGATTCCAGGTTCTTCTTGTCTTGAACAAAGAATTGAATGAAATGAGAAAAAACAAAAAACAAATAGTGGCCAAGTTTATTCAAGAAAGTAAAAGTGAAAAGTGGGAGAGAAACTGGCCCTGCAGAATGAGCTTGGGCCGAGTGAATAGAAAAAGAGGATAAGAGCAAAGATAAAAGTACACACTGTGTCTGGGAAACAGTGAGCTATCGTGGAAAGCTACACTAGTACCTGTTCTTCTTGGCTGCCTCTTTTTTTTTTTTGTCTTTTTGAGACAGGGTTTCACTATGCAGTTCAGACTAGCTTTGGACTCACCATGTAGCCCAGGTGGGCTTTGAATTCCCAGTGATCCTGCCTCACCCTTTCCCCCAGTGGTGGGATCACAGATGTGTGCCACCATGCCCCGATAACTGCCTTTCTTTTATGCTATCCAAATCTCAAGGAAGCCTACAAGAACTTCTATATCCGGGTCCTGAGAGGTGGTGCTGGATTTCCACACCTCAGGCTGACGTCAGGTCTAGGGCACCCTACTGAAAACCTGCTTAAGTTCCCTGAAGAAGTCCACATGCAGGACTCTGAGAACTGTTCTGCACTTGTGTCTGGGATTTTGTAATTAACAGGTCAAATCTACTTCCCTAGCCGGCTGTTGCCACGATCTAATCTCCTATCTCACTAGGTCAGAGGAAGGTGATCACAAGGAACAGGCAGCATAGAGGAGAGGCCATTCCCAGTGCTGGCTGGCAACTAGCAACCTACTTCCATGAGGCTTATCCACTTTGGAGTTTCCAGATCGATATATCGAATTTTAGAGAGACCACGGTTCCTACAGTCTTGTAGCTGGGGCTGAACAGAGAGCCTGGGGAGGTCTGGGAAAGTGGGTTGAACAGTAGTACAGTTTACCAGAGTTGGCTTGGGAGACAAAAATGACAGGCTTGCTAATGTATAAAGATGAAAAGCATATTAGTGGTTGCATGGTGAAGGGAGTGCGAATGGGGTGTGAGCTGAAAAGGGTTATGAGAAACTTCCATCTTACTGATTATATTCTCAACTTGTAGCTGAGACTGGTAAAGGATAAGAATTCAGTAAATATCTGTTCAATAAATGAGTGAATGTTTCTATACTGTGTTACAGTCTTACCTCTATATTTCTTTGTCCCTCACCAAGTTTAAAAAAAAAGTTTTTAAGAAAATCTCTGAATCTTACAGCTGCCTGACCCTCACCAGTACCTACCAAATAGTGTGACAAAGTACACATCAAATGTTGTTGAATTAATGTGAATTAGGCAGAAATATGCAAGAATGGAGGCAATGTGATAGGGAAACAGAATCTGGAGTTCTCAGCAAAGCCTAGTTTTCACTAGTTCTTCTAGGATTAGCAGTCTGTCTTTGTTTTTTTT